TTACTTACAAAACCTTCTGTACCCTAGGCTGTGGGCCTACTGCACCATTTCAACAACTCGTAGAATGTCTTCACAGGTTTACTGTCCCATATGTACCCTGAAGCGTCCTGCCATAGCTTTGTTTCCATCTCCTCACTGCAAGTTGGTCTGTGATACGTGGTTAAACAGACACAGAGCTTTATTAAGCATGGGTGAAAGCTGGGAAAAAAAAAAAAAAAAAGTACTTGTACACTGGAAGGAGGTAAAGCAAAGTACAACACCATATCGAACGTGCCACTTGCCTTGTGCCTTTTGTTTCCAGAGCCATGCAAGCAGCTGTGATGATAGCGTTATCTGCTGACTGCACTGTTGATCCAGGCAGCCTTTCCCCTCCCAGCTCACCCTGCACACTGATACAGCACAGCAATAGGTGTGGAAAAAGAAGAAACCTCTCAACCCCAGATCCCAAGAAACCACCACCAGCTTTGTCTCCTTTTCTATCTGCAGGCAATGCTACCTTGAAACACAGCACAGAGGCTCAGGGACTAATGGCCTCATCAGTATTAGCAAATTATACAGCAACTGGGGATGAACCATGAATCTGTACTAGTAAGCTGTTCAAGCATTTCATGGCCTGTAGCAATTACTGCTCTCCACAGCCGTTCCCGGGCACAGTCCAGAGTCAAGGACCTAATCTCAGTTGGCCATCAGCACAGAGCCACCCTCTTTCAAAGTGGATGATATTTTACTTGCACAGATGCAAGCTCTTCTATGCCGGCTGGTCTCTGTGCCTGGGAATATTCCCGGGTATAATTAATTTACTACTGTAGAAGTAGCCAATAATGCTTCATGATTATTGAAATGCCTGCTACCTCTGTTGACCAAGATATGTGCTTCTTTCATCACACTGCCAACATCACTTTAGCAGAGACAATGTCAGCCACAATCCTACAGTGCTGCTGTAGTGACTTCTCTGGAGAGTTGATGATAAGCATTACAATCATGCCTCTTCATCCAGAATTTTGTAGCAAAATAACTCTCTGCCTGTAAAATACAGCTAGGACTCAACAATAAATTCCATCTTTGCATCAAAGAGCAAACCTTGTGTCCCTGAAGAGACAGAGGCTTACTTGCCCCTGATGAATTCCTCATTAATTTCCCTCAACATTTCATTGCACATCTCCTACTCTCAGTTTTACTGAACCTCTACCTTGTCCCATCTAGAAAATTTGTTAACTTCATCCTAATTATATTCTAAATCTGCCAGTGAATTTAGTTGACCCTTCATCACCCATTTGTGACTATTTCCCCATTTCTTACTACAACAGGATCTCCACCAGATCGGAAAGTATTTCCCCTCAGCAGATTGACATTGTGCACCCAGCTGTGAGGAATCCATAGCAGCCTGTTAAAATATTCTCACAGAAGTGTGTGGATTTAAAACCACACATTTGAAAGCCCAACAAACTGTAACCGAAAATATCTATTATAACTTGAATGCATAAACATCGTTCATATATAAATATTGGACACAAGAAACAATACAGATTGTGGATCTTCTTTTTAGAAGCTGCCTTTAAAATGAAACTTATTATATCCAGCCCAAACTCATCCTTGCTTTTCTGTGGCTTCTGTGGGTAGGTAAGTATCAAAACAATAGCAGCCCTCTAATGCAGAAAATACCTTCTGCTACAGAAGGACTCAGATACAAAATAAGGGCCTCTGTGTAGAGGAGTCCTTGAATTTCAAGTGCCTTGTGCCAGTCTGTGCAGCAGGGAAACTGTTCGCTAAATGTCAGGATTAAAACTGCATGCTCCAAATCTATCAGCCCTTGTTCTTCTTGTCCTAAAATGGTGGTTTTCAACATTTATTGGTCAGAGCATGATCTTACCTCTTTGAAAAGCAATCCCAGGATCACTTTGATAGCCTTGCTGCAATCATTTGCATGTACAAGCAAGTACCAGGTTAAACCCTCAACATATATCCTCTGCTCTTATTATTTTTTTCTTTTGAGCATGTGTATTATTTTCATTTTGTCAGGAATTGCTTTATAGATTTTTTTTCTCTCTCTCTCCCAAACCTTTAGTGATTCACCAGCTACGAGCTGAGGAACATCAACCAAGCACATGACATAGGCAACATACTGGCCAAAACTGAGTTGAATTTCATATTGGACATTTAGGTAGAATCTGCAATTTGGGCATAGTCAAAAGATAAAAAATAAAAAAAAAAAAAAGCCAAGCACAACTGCTACTGCTGCCTTACTGATCATTATTAACAAAAACGTGCAGGTCCATGGACAACTGGAGAATCAGGCACAATGGAGTAGGACCCAGGTGGCAGATGACTTGGTATTGCTGCTAAGGAGAGAGGAACATATGAGGGCACCTCCATGACTGCTGCTCCAAAACCATCAACTAAACACGTGATGTTAGGCCTCGCTTCATTTCTAACATGCACGTTCAGGTCACAAAACACAGAAGTGAGAATCTCAAAGCTCTCCTGAGCCTGATGTTACAGAGACAGTCAACTTTCTCCGTGTGGCAACATCCTCACACCCCCAGAGCTGTGTACCTGGAGACAGGGAAGGCAGGAGAGCTGTTGTGTAGAAGCTGAACACCGAACGAGCCCGCAGAACCTAGCCCAAGATCCTCGTCCAGTTCCCCAGTTACGGGCTCTGAATTCACTCCCAGGTTAGGAAACACCAGGCTGCTTGAAGAGGAAAAGCTTTTGAGGGTCTGTCCCCTTTTCTTCCAAATGTGTAACAAAATTTGCAGCATTAACAAGCTCACAGGTCAAAGACAAACTTTACTCATACAAAGGCCTTAAAATTATGCAAACTGACACAACCTCCCTATTTCTAACATACATCAAGCTCAGAACAGGTTTATTTAAAAATACACTTTATTTACAAGACATTCGAACTTCATTTTGAAAAAGATAGAACTGTACATAAAACTAAGTAATTTTTCACTAATAGTTAGTAAAACCACAGTGAGATTTACACTTCATTGATTCAGCAGTCATGGAAATTACATTTTGGCACATTATTTAAATCACATAATGAACAGAAAAACTGGAGGAAACTTTTAAGCAACACAACTCCATAAATGTAACAATCTTACACAGTGACATCCTCATATCAAGGTATCACTGTTCAAATGAAGTATTTAACATAGAAAGTGCTTCCACTGTACAGCAGAGTAAGTAGTAGAACCTATAGAAATCTTCATAGCTTTTAGATTATCATTTCAGAAATCTCTTTTACCTGCTTTCCAATTAGCAATCCCAGCTTTCCTCTAAGGCGTTAATGAATGGTTAATGAACCCTACTGATTTCATTATACCTTCTCAGGTTTAGAAACCAACATTCTTTAAAAAGTTGGTTCAGGTCAAGTGTTTATTAATAATTTAAGTATATATAAATATATATATATTTATTTCTCAGGATAACTACTTAGACAACACTTCTACACAGACCACAGGACATAAAGTCCTTGGAGTAGCTCACATCAAGCTGTCCATAGATCTTGGGTAGTGAACTTAATTTCAGGGAAAATCTGGATGCTGGCATATTCCCTTCAAAGTTCAGAATAAAAGGGAGCATTCAGGACAGTAAGCACTATAATCGGGTAGGGAAGGGAGAAAGAATAGGAGGAACTAAACAAGGTCAAAAAGTGGTTTGCAACGGTAAAGTATATCACAGAGCAAAACCAGAAGGCAGGTGAACTTCAATAAAATGGAGTGCAAAAATTAAACCAGTGCATTAAAGAGGTATTTCTAAACTGTATTATAGGTACATCACCATGACCAGAAGGCTAACAAAATCCTATTCTTTGTCTCTTCAATAAAAGCAGTAAGAAAAACATTAAGAGGAAAAAAACACTGTTGCACAACAAGTCAAAATAAGTATCATGAAGAACACGAGGTAAAGGAAGTCCGCTGAAAACTTGGTAAAACAAAGGCAATACTCCTAAAAATAGCATCACTTATTTTTCTTTATATAGAAGAGCGAAGGGAGGACCTGCATTTAGAAAGTTACAGAAGAATGACAAAAATAACAATCAAATTGGCACATTTGGCACATATGAAAAGGTGACAAAAAATTGATTCACTTTACGAAAAGGCCCACAACTGATGAAGGCCAGTAAATTGACTTTGCATTCAATGCCATGTTAATTTATTCCAGATTTCACTTTTACTCCAAAACTATCTGGCAAGGCTAGCAAAGGTTTCCTTGTCAACAACTAGGTGACCATGTATGACCGGTTATGGATCAGAGGGCCACATAAGCTGGACAGCCAGTTGAAAGTCACCTGTATTTTAAGCAGACTTCCTTTGCTACAGACAGTGATGGACAGATAGGAGCAACCACTGCAAGAGAACCTGAACGCCATAATGATGCAATCATACGGAAGTACTTGAAAAGGACAGAGTAGCACCATCAACCTGCAATCATCAGAAATTTTATGTTACTGAACTGGAGGGGAAAAAAGCAATTAAGCTAAAGAAGCCAGAAAAGAGATTTTATGACAGTGCAATACACTACAAAACTGAATTTAGGGCAAGTGCCTACAGATAAGGGCAAACACTGAAATACACTGTATTTCAAAATGAGGTAAGCCTACTTCAAGAGAATTAAAAGAGATATGCCAAGAACTGAAGGGAAATAAGCCAATACAAAATACACACTGATTGGAATGAAGTTTTCTACAGAAGTAGAGAGGGGCCACCCAGTACAGCCTAGTTGTGACACACTTAAAGAGGAGAACAATATTTTGTTGCAGGACTCAAAGGAAGGCAAGGATACTTGGTCAGAAAATTTAGCTGAATACCCTGAAAGTCTGTATACAAAAAAAGCGAGGTTCATCTCATCAATAACATAGCTCTGTTGGTTTTGCTTGTTTAAGTAATAAAGTAAATTTTAAATCTGCTTGTTTTCTAGACCTGAAGATTTCTATAATCCCTGGTATTTTCATATTTATTCACAGACAACAATTACAGTACATGACAAGAAAAAAGTTTAAGAATGTTACTTCAATGTATTTTCAGGTTACAACACTTTTAAAAGCTTACAAAATTGAAAACCACAGTTTTAACAAACACTGGAAGGATAAAGATGGTCCATTTTGTCAAATGCCCTAGCATTACACATACTCTTCCCTAATTCCAGAGTAAACAATACTGCCATTCCACCTTTCAACCATTTAATAAAGTGTATATATAAAAAAATTACCTGATTTAAGACACAAATGCATAATTATGAAAGAGCGCTTGTTTTAGAGGGTATCTGGAAAGCAAGTTCTCCCATAGGCTTTGTTATTTTGGGAGCCTTCTACTCCAGTTCTCAAAAAACCTACAAATATATTTGTTATTTACATCTAAACCTCAACACTTAAACATCATCATAGATGAAAATAAGGACAAAAAAAAAAAAAAAAGCAAACCAGAAGAAAGGGCCATCTTACTTTCTGCCACACGCTTTTAAAAGAGCAATTCTTAAAATGTTTCCTGATTTACATTAATTCGTGCAGTAACTGCCAAGCAAGATCCTGCTGCTTTCACCTCTGCTGCTGCCAACAGAATCAAACAGACTGGAGGATCAAGCTTTCAATTATACTAACACATAGTTTAATTTATATAATACAAACCTACAATGGAAGGCTATCAAATATATTAATTCACCCAAGAATCTGTTCAAAAGAGGTAACTACAAATCTAGAAATGTGCTATTTAGACTGCAATCACTGCTTCAGTAAATATACTTTCCAAGCAGCAAAATATCCTGCTGTGTGTTTTAATATTCATTGACTTAATGTAATCGTCCTTATTAATAAGGTGTTGGCTGCTTTCAAACCAGCCTTACAGGGAGGTCCTGGTATTTTCCCAGCCCAGGCAGGAAATCAATTTGCCCTTTCTGTTAAGGTGTCACTGAGGTAGACACCACTATTTTATAAAGGTGTCCCCATAAATAAATGAATAAAACAGCCTGCCCAGGCCACACAGACCACTGAAAAGCTGCTTTTGACAACAGTATGTACTTGAAAGCTTCTGGATCTGATCTGCATAGCCAGTGAGGCTAAGGACTACCCTCAGTGGGGATCAGGTAGTGGGTCTCCTCTCCCAGAAACCTGGAGAACACACCTGACCTAAATCCAGCACTGGTGACAGGGCACATCATCTTGTTTTCCTTAGAGCACCCTTGCACACCTTTAAAAAGAGCAAGCAGCAAAAAGATAATGGAACTGCTTCACTAAATAGAGTTTGAAATACACCTCTGGGCAGGGGAAGGAGGGGCAGGGCAAAGGCAAGGGCTTAGACCTTTGAAATAAACCAACACGAAATAACTGAGAATCAACCAGGAAAAATTCCCTGTAATTTTTTTTAAAGCTCCAAGTGATAATACTGCATATAAAACTTTAAAGGGACTTTCTTAATTAATACGATATTGAATTATGTCTTAATAATAGAATTGCAGGATTTTAACTGTTCATAATAAACACATTAGCTTATTTATTCAGCATGAATAATGACAGTGTTAAAGACACTGTAATCATCCTGCACAATGATGAATTAAGACTGTGGCTATTTTAAGTTCTGTTGTCAAGAGGAAAAATAAAAATAAAAAAGACTAAATTATACAATCACAGCGGTGAACAGGAGAAAAGTTACTTGGATGATTGCTTGCATTTCCATTTGCTAGAATCAGTACAGACAATGTTAGTGCTATTTCTTTGCTTTCATGACAAGAAGTCTATTCTTCAGCATACTTATCCATGATTAAGCTAGGACTCCAGCATTACGAGTAGAGAAGGAAAACCAGCTTCTGCTGTGTCCCTAAATACAGGAGTCAATCAAAGAACCAATGCAAGCCAAAATTCCTGAGTGCTTCCCCTCCCCCTCAGACACTCATAATTTCATGCACAAACCCCACTGGCCAGAAGCACAAACATTACTGTTAAACATGAACTGTCTATGCAAAAATGGGGTTTAAGGATCAGTAAAGCACCTCTACTGAAGCCCTTTATAAATATACAGTACTTCAGCCCAGTACAATCATTAACTGGCCACAGGGCTTTCATGAAACAGCTTGCTGCAGCAGAAAAGGCCAGAGTTTCATTCCCAGTGCCACTGGCCATTAACTGCAAGCATCAGTGCAGACAGCAACACACCCCATCCACTCTAACGGCAGAAATTCACACGTAGTTTGGTAAGGAACTGGGTTAGGCTGTATCACAAAAATCTTAGATGAACGCAATACCCTTTGTGGAAATACTAATCCTTATTTCAGATACAAGGGGGGTTTAGGTGTATTTTGGTTTACAGCTAAAGCATAGAAATCTTTTTGACACACCAACTTCAGCTACAACCACTGATGACCCCCTTCCCAGCCAGGATATGTTTGTTCTATGAAAACACTATGCAGAGTAGAGGGAATTGCCTAAAGTCGTGTACTGCTCAACTGTGATTTGTCATCAGACACGTCACGATTTTTCACGTTTTTAACGCTATTCTCTGCCAGTGGGTGCTCAATAGGGATTTCAACATCATTTTTACTGGAACCATTGTCTTTATGCAGTGCAGAAAGGCAACTATCGTTTTTCTCAGTATAGCCATTAGTTTTAGCCAGGGGGGGCTCCCGCTGACTGCAGCACAGCTGAGAGTCACAAGCTTTTGAGATGCAGGGTGAGCTGCACAGTAGCTGAGAGGTCTTGTGGTCAATGTACTCAGGCTGGATGGTCACAGAATGGATCCCTGCTTCGTGGAAAACCTTCCGTATTTTATAAGCAGCATCTTGGTAATCAGTAGGGGTTTGGCACTTGATATGAAGAGTAGCAATATTCTTCCCACCTGCAAGCTCCCAAACATGCACCTCATGAAGGCTGCTAACCCCTGGCACACGAGCTAGTCTGTCAGCTGGAAGACATAAGAGAAAGATATTAGAGGCTTCAGTGTCTTGGCTAATTCCTAGTTTTCTCATTAAGAGCCCTATCTGAAAGCAGCAGTCTCCAAACTATCTTTTTAAAAAGAGCTGTACTTAGTAAAATATGTCTACTCACAGCTGCCTTCAGTTCAGCCTCCAGATGACCACATGAGTAGGCCACCCTTCCTTTTGGGTTCACCCATCCCTCAGGCTCCCTAATGACAATTGACCAGCAGCTGTTCACAGAAGTAACATTAGAGCACCACTTCCTTGGCCAAGACCCCACATCTTCTGGTTTTGTTAACGCTGAGCATGGTGGAATTCCAGAAACAACCAGTGCTACCCCACAAATAACCAGCATGAACAACACCGGAGAGCTTCAAAATTAACCAACCTCAATGGAAATGTCTAAGCTGTTCTGGAAGAAGCCACTGCAGGGTTGGGAAATACTGTAATTGAATGTTGTTTCTTTCACAAACACCCCACACAAAGCATTAACAGCTCAAGGCCTGGTATTTTTGATGTATTGTTGGAATACCACATTCCCAAAATACATGCTTTAACTAATCCAGAGAGATTTGAGTCATGTTGCTAAGACACAGGCATGTGACTATTTCTCCCAGTTCTTGAGAATTTAGTGCTATTATGAGTAAATAATCCAAACATGTCATTCCAGAAATAACATATGCATTGAAGTATATCATTAAAATTAATAGCATTTCAACAACAAATTTTACTTACTGAGTAGTTGCATATTAACACCTTTGGGAACCATCTGCAACAAAATAATTGAAGTCTCCTTGATAAGTGGGAACGCAGAAGACAAGATGATGAACACCATAATTATTGTCAGGCTTGGATCGATGTAGCACTGCCAATTACATGGAGCATTCCCCAGAGGAAGTACATGGAAGATTGTAGCAGCAACTACCACCACCACAGATCCCAGTGCATCTCCCATAACATGCAAAAGAACACCTGAAACAAATGGCACAATTTCCATTAGTGGTGGGGTTTTTTTGGGTAGTGGGAGGACAGTAATGCTGCATTTTTCAGGTCTGTTTTACTTGACACGAAGAAAGCAATATTCCAGGCACTAACATCATAACCAAAGTTTTCAATAGCAGTTTTCAGAACAAAACAGCAAAGGAAATACTGACTCTGAACCACAGCTGCTTAAGTGGGATGCATTATTAAGCATGTAGGGTATGCTAGCAACTGCGGTCCAACTGCAATGCCATGGCAACGTAAGATGTATTTGCTTAAATGTCTGCAGATTATTAAGAGATCCTGGCACATTAAATCTCAATTCTCAATTAAAAATTGATGACTAAATCTGTCCGTTCTACCCTGGAAGCTGAGAGCGCCACAGACCACCCCCAGTAACAGCCATTCTCCTCCATCAGCTTCTATGACACTGTTGAAATCTGAAAAATTACCTAAATGAAACCTAAACCCATCCCTACGGCTCCAAATGCCCTCAAACTCCAATTTTCAGATCAAGCTTGATTACTAGACATAGTAAACCTTGTCCCACCAACACTACTAGTCCTCAGACGCCCAAAAGATCAGAATCTGGTTTAAGAGTCAGTCACATGGACGCCACAGTTTAATACGTGCCTGGATGACTATAAATCGAGAGGAACGCTGGGCACCATTTTTTACATCTATAGATACGTTTTTGCACAAAAGGTAAAGACACGAAACAGGCTCCTATAATAACACGTTTTTAGCTGCCATTTCAACTACAACAACCAAAGTAGCCTTCTTGCTATGAATTTACAATAATCTAAGAACTCCTCTTTTCCTTCGTTACTACTTTCCATAATTGTCTCTCTTCCTGTCATTGCTCATATGCACTCCAGTTTTGTCAGTCTTTACCATTCAGACCCAGATTTCATTCCAAACCATGCCCAATTCATTACATCTCTAAATATACGAAATTAATTTCTTCGTCAATACTGTTTATTCAGAGTCTGTGAGAGAATAAAACGACCATTTCCTTTTAACATCCCTATGACAAGCACTCTCAAGAGCTTCAATCCAATTTAATCACTTCCACTGGGCTGAAGAAGTTGTAAGAGGCTCCCTCTGAAACTCACTAACACCACAGCAAAGAGTTTTGACTGTTTGGTGACACCGGACACTGGATTACACCTCGAGCTGTGCCTGTGCTGTTGTTTCTTGCCAGCTCTGTGCATGACCATTGATCTCCTGTGTGAGAAGCAAAGGCAGTAACCACTGGAGTTCCTCTGAATCACTTGGGTCAGATAAAGTACAAGCTTCCAGTGAGTCCAGCTCTTTTTGCTGGCATCAGGCATATTCTGCCCCATTTGGCAGACTCCCACAGAGCTTTACTCCTCTTAACAGTGTTGCAGTGTTTCCTTTTCAATTACAAATAATCCCAATTCAGCATGGGCTATCAGCTATTGCACTAACAAGAGGGACAGGCAGGATGCGATTTCCAAGGCAACTAACTAGAAAGCACAGCTTAAAAATAACAGGACAATGTTTCAGAAAGTCTTCTTTTGAGCTAAGAAAAAAGTATGTCAGGATTTTGATAAATTATGAATTGAGACTACAGAATTTGAAAAATGCTTATTTTACATTACTAACATTATAAATATGTATGTCTTGGCTACACATCACATGATGAGGGCCTAGATAGAAATGAACCCATTCCCCTGTCAGTTCCCAACAGCTGTGGTTATAAGATAGAACTGAAAATTAATTTTTATTAAATAAAGCAGTATGGTAAGACCATAGGTAACACATTGTTTCCAACAGCTTGTGTTGGAAAGTCTGAACTACCCTGCATACCCTTAAGTAAAAGGAATAATTTTACACTACAATAATTAATCCTGTGAGGCAGAATATATGGATTCCTGTTCCTACCACTTTTAAAATCAAGGAAGCAGTTCCTCTGTCAACCCATTTTGTCCAGCCATGTTTTTCAGGGAGGCTCCAATTCTATGATGTACAGAATTTTTTGCCAAGCAATTATGAAGTAAGTATAGCCATGCAACTAACTTCAAAGGAAAAACGTAGATTTCAATCAGAATTTTAAAGACACATATCTGTAGCTTTGGCTACAGAAGCAAAGAATATTTGTAAGGACAGTCAAAATAGATTTTGCAAAGATGACCTACTAAAGTAGCACTTAGAAAAATCCTCTTTTTAAAAATCAAAGATGTCAGGTGTCTTAAAATAACTGATACAAAACTCCTTATCCTTCAGACATTTTTGAAAGTTCCCATCATCATTATGCCCAAGCACTGTTGTTCAGACAAGTAAGGCCTTCTCTAAAACATACCCATCGGTTTCTTATTCTCTCCTCCAACCCTGAAAGTGACACTTTGCTTTTCCTGCTCCAATAATCTTACCACTATAGTGTCATAATACCCTGTGACACCGATTTCTAGACTTTCAGGAAAGTATTGTGGCTCTAGCAGATGGTTTGATTTCCAAAGTGCCTTCCCTTACAGACACAATTGTTTAACTCTGAAAACACTCTTAAAGACAGACAGACAGACAGACATGCATCCGAAAACAAAACAAAACAAAAACAAACAAACAACAACAACCAAAAAAAAAAAATCAACACAACCAAACAGGTACCTGGCTGCCGTGTCAACCTCTTAAACTGAATTCATATGATGCCAATTTACACAACTTTGGAGGAATATCAGATGCTGATAGGTGACTATAAGAAGCCTGAAACTTCCATTCTGTTTCAGCTTTCTGACAGCCCTTTCCTTGGGGACAAACTCAATGGTTAATATACTCAAAGATACTTGCTTTTGGCTCTGTTCAGAATAGGTATCTAAACATGTATGCATATAAAAACCTACAGAGAGAGGGGGAGACACTTGGTTGATTTATTCCTAGAAGTAGCTATACTGTTTCACTCCACAGGTACCCAGAGACCTGCTGAATTACAACCTAAGAAGGGCTGATCCTGTCACAGGGACAGGTTCACAGTTCAAAGACCTGGAAAAACACTGCACATAAGCACCAGTTTCAGCGCCTTTTTCCTTGAGCTAACAACAAAACATTATCAATCTCGGGATTTAAACAAAACCTGTTTTCTGCCCCAAAACATTTGAAAGTTGAAAACTGCTCAACTACTACAGCAGTGGCACTCCAAGAAGTGCCTCACAGCTACCTGCTTTACCTTCTATAAGGCCTCTAGTGACTCAAGCTTAGTGCAGTAGGCTCTGCCTCCTTTCCAAAAAGTTCAGCTGCACTCCTCTAAAGAATTAAAATCAAAATGTGAGCACGCTTGGAGCTAAATCAGCACCACAGTATTATGTTATTATCTATGCTATTTCATGTAACCAAAACCTTTTTGCTAAAGATAACTGGGTCGGTATACATAGAAGAGTCCTGGGCTTTTGCTCCATTTCTTAACCGATATTTGAAAAAAAAAAAAAAAAAAAAAAAAATGGAAAAAGAAAACAATCTGAAATGGAAACCAGAAAGTCTTTAAAGTTAATATAATCTTAGCAGTATACCCCCGTGCTGTACCTCTGATATTCAAGGCTTCAGACTTTTTCTCTTTTCTCTTCTCAGGCCCCTCTTCAGGGCTTTTTTGGTCATTTGGCGAATCACCTGCATTCAAAGAAGAAACGCTGTGTTGTGTATAAGTTCTACAAACAGAAAAAACATCAACCTTCTCAAAACCAACTTATTTCAAAAATGACAAGAAGAAAACAAACAGGAAAAAAAAAAAAAAAAAAAAAAAAAAAACAAAAAAAAAAACCAACAACAACAAGAAGCCAAATCATTTTCCATGCAGCTCTCTGAGCAATGCCTCCTTCCCCCATCCCGAGGGGATGCCCAGCAGCCCGGTGCGAAGCACAAGGTGAAAGAGGCGGCAGCGGGTGCCTGAGCGAGGTTAGAGAAACCCACCCCCCCCCGGGGCCCACGAGTGGGTTTGGGGCTCAGAAAGGGCCCAGAGGACGGGCCCAGCAGCTCGGTGGGCTCTGCCTGACAAACGCGAGGGACAGAGATGACAGGGGGGGACGGGGAAGGGCGCAAGGGGTGGGAGAGGTGCAGGACACGAGGGTGGGCGGTGAGGCGGCGAGGATGGCAGCCAGAAGGCACCTGCTTCGTCCACCCGCCCCGTCGGGGCTCCGCCGGGCACGTCCTGCAGCACGGCGGGTGGGTGGCGGCGACGGCGGCGGTGGCAGCAGGCCCCCCAGTCCTGGAAGACGAGGAGCCCCACGAGGTTGACGGCGAGGCCGAGGGTGCCAACGATGAGCACCAGCTGGGCATCGTCGATGGGCTCGGGCCGGGCGAGGCGGAGGATGGCCTCCACGAAGACGACGAAGCAGAGGGCGGTGAGGAAGACGGCGTTGCTGAGGGCCCCCACCGCCTCGGCGCGGCTGTAGCCGTAGGTGGCCCGGGGGCCCCGGCGGCTGCGGCGGGCGATGCGCCCCGTGGAGAGGCCCACGCAGAGGGAGATGAGGTCCGAGAGCATGTTGAAGGAGTCGGACACCAGCGCGATGGAGTTGCCCAGGTAGCCCGACACCAGCTCGGCCACGAAGAACCCGACGGTGAGCACCAGCATGAAGATGAGGCGGCACGTCTTCCCCGAGTACCGCCCCATGGCGATGGCGGCGGCCGGTCCCACCGGCGCCCCTCGTCCCCGCTAGCCCCGGGGCATGCCCGGCCGCCGGCCCGCAACAAGTGCGGCCGCCTCAGCCCTTAACGCCGCCGCCACGGCCCCGCGGGGAGGGCCCCGGCCGCCCACACCGCCCCGCACCGCCCCACGGGGAGGGCGCCGGCTTCCCGCCCCGCCCCGCCGCCACGGCGCGCCCCCCCCCCCCCCCCCCCCCCTTTCCCCTCCGTGGGGGACCGCGGGGAACCCCGCCGCCCCCCGCGGGTCCGTTAGGAAGGAGGGCGGGCGAGACGAAAGGCGGCAAACGCGGCAGAAACACGCCATTGAAGCGGCCGTGGGGAGGCGCGGACCTGGCGCGCCGGCTGGGAAGGGTCCCGCGTGGGTTGGCGGAGCCATCCAGGCAAAGCCGAAGGGCCGCCCCGCGGGATCTGCGGGGGGGGGGGAGGGGCAGGGACCGCCGCGCGAGCCAAAGGCGGTGAAGTTGTGTGGCAGGTCCAGTAATCGCGCTCCTTTGGTGCTTTACTGGTGGCTTAAGCGCCAAATCGAAGGGTAGAGTGCCATCTATTGAACCCGGTGATTCCCTGCCGCCAGCCTTAAAAAAGGTGTGTCAACACAGCGTGCGTGAATGTATCATCGTCCTGTGAGAAATTTCAAGCGTTTTGCCAACCTATAGAATAGTCAAGAAGAAGCATAGTAAGTGAGTAAAACCTCTGTCTTGTATTCACAGGTGATTTTTGTTTGTTTGTTTGCTACAACAGCTCTTGGGAAAGTGGCACCCCTCCGTGCAAATGCCAAAAGGACAGAGCCAGACCGCTAATGCGGCATTTCAAGATAATGGGACCGACTGAATAGTCAACGGAGGTGCTGGGAAATTAAGTCATCCTGTATGGGGTCCTCAATAACAGAACTGAGCCCAAAAAATAATAAATAAAAGACATAAGACCTGAAGAAAATAGTGTCCTTAAAATGATATCCCGCGAGAGTCTGCAGTATTTCAGTTATGCCAGAGGCACACCGGTGCTGGGGTTGCTGCTTCGGCAACTACAGTTCACCCTGAAGTACGACATCAAACATTTCACCACACCTGACAAAGTATACATCGCTATCAGATAATAAACACTATCATGTCCCTCCCACCAAAGGTGATGTTCTCTACAACCAGAAATTCATTAAAGGTCTCGGGAATTTCCTCTTTGTTCTAACTCTGAAGCAATTGCATCATTACTGCTGCTAATGGAGCTTGAGCTCTTGCTTGGATACCTTTTTTAAATGAGGCCTCTCAATTCCACCTAAGTTCTGTGTATACAACCACAGCCTTTCTTGCATATAACCCAAAACATATCTTAACCTCTGGAGCAGATTTAAGTAGCCAGTCAGGGGATAATCTCCCATGTATCTGCAAGGATTAACACACACAACTCTGAATTAACTGGAGATTCTTGTGCATGTCCTTCACACATTCAATACCCAAGCGATGAAAGTACTCTGCAATCTTAAAATTAACAAATGCATAAAATAGATGTATTGAAAAGAACCTTACCAAAAAGACAGACACAACAGTGGGAGCAGATAGGATAATTTACATCAGCACACATTTCTGCTCTACAGTTGCATCTACCAACACAAGCAGGAGAGATTTTAAACAGTTGTGCCAAATAAAAAGATGCGTGACATAGGTAGAACAAAAAGAAGAAAAATATATAGGAGTTATAGGAAGTTAAATAGTCTATTAGATATGAACTTTAAAATGACAGGCTATATCTTCTTTTCTATAATTAATGATAGAAAATTCTGCCTCTGGTACTTCATTTACAATAAAAAAAAAAAATTCGCTGAAGCCCAGCTCATTGCATCTGCATAGAACTGAAGAGAATTTCCAGCAGTTCTTATTTTAGGAAAATGTATAATACAGTAGCTGGAGCATCCTTAATCCTGTACAAAATATACATTAATTCTCTCTGACAAAAAAAAAAAAAAAAAAAAAAAGACATGTCATAGCACTGAACTGACTTCAAAAACATAAAAATGTCATAATTATTTTGAAGAAATAGTGCTAAAAATACTATTTTCAGCAAATAAGGCTGTGACTAAGTCCTCTGACATGGAGCACAATTACAGATGACTCACTGAAGAAGTCAGAAGCGGTACATGGTCAGAGCCTCAGCTGTGAAGCTGTGTCTGCTGAGCCGGATTCTTCCTTCTTCTGCTTGTCAAGCTCACCCATCTCAATCTGCTTCTCATGACGCAGCGTCAGCCTGAAAGCCACGCACTGACATAGGAACAGAGCAGTGTCTGTGCTGGGTTAGACCAGAGCTCCATCTCTGAACTATTTCCAGTTCCCATCTACATCTTTTGGAGATGAGGGAACCAAACCAGCAGAGTCTTCAAACCACAGGTCAGCCACAGATTCATACAGGGGCACAGCAAAGGTCCTGAATATCTCCTTTACTCCTTTCCGAGTGCTGCCTCACATTTGAGTCACTTCTGTCTTCTGAACAATTAGCAAACATTTTTATGATCATTCTCTCCTGCTTTCTGTTTCTCATCTTCTGATCAGTTATTTATCCACGTGAGGACCCTTCTCTTCACACTATGGCTGCTTAGAAAGCCTCTTGGAAATCCAAGCTTTTGCTCACTCCACTATACATATAAGCCTCCCTGACCCTCTTCATCCAGGTACCACTATCACTTCAAGACAAACGACTCCTAAAAATGTCATCTGAACAAAGCTACACTGATCATTCTTGTTCAGTATGTCATCGCTTTCAACAACAATAATTAATTTAGCTCAGTCCCCAGAATAAAGTGTGTGTTAACCCTCTGGATCTTTTGCATCTTGATCTTCATCTGCATAGTCCAAAGGAAAGTCTTGATCCTGCACATAGGAGGCACCAACCCCGTTACCAGGGTTTTCACTCAGGCTCTTTGCACCTTGCGGGCACTACTGTTCTGCTTGCACCGACCCACCGGCGGTATCAGATTGTTTGATCTCAAATCCTTTTAGGAAGGAACTGCATTTCTGGCTGCTTTGCAGCATACTTAGCACTGTCGTGTAGACATTCAGCAATGTGATATTACGGTTCCACTTACTCATCCAGTACTGAGATTGCCTGAGCAAGCTACGTACTGTTCAATGAAACAATCAACCTAAATAACCCAGTCTCTCTGTTTCTAACTGTGCTGAAATGAACAAGTCCCTCACAGGAGGTTCACAAAAGGTTGTCCAACACCTTAGTTTTCTGAATTATTTGCCAACTTTAGCTTCAGCTACAATACTGCTAGAAAAGCTGTTCTTGCAGTTTCCTCATCCTAATCAGGAGCAGGAATTGTTAAAATTCTTATGAACTGGTAAAATGATTATAAACAAGACAACTTTCCTTCTGAATCCCAAAGATGCAAAGCACTCCTGTAAGCTTCAAGATTTCTGTGTACCAATTTTTTTGTTCTTCAACAGACCAAATTTTAACACTTAGTCATTGGCAGTCAAACCCTCTAGCCAACAGGCTATCCCCACCTGTGGTCATAAGGGGATGCTTAGGTAACAGTAAGAGCAGCATAACCATATATGATACTTTCTCCTAATACTCTTGCATTCTTCAGGTATTTTGAGCTCAAGTCAGTTTGAGCTAGATTTTTAATAGCCCTCAATGGATTTCTCTTTCATGTGCTACTAGTTCAGCCTTTCACTCACTGGTATAGACTTGGCACTGCTTGATAACAAGCTCCACACATCTTCTACTCATGGTGTGAAGAATCAGATTTTTCTCTTTGTTTTGAACCTGGATGCTGCTAGTTTCATTCAATATATCCTCATTCTTGTACCAGAGGACAGAACAAACACTCAACAACTATTGGCCTTCCCTATGCCACTCTTGTTTTTACAGACTTCTGTCACACCCTCCTTAAGTTACTCATTTTCAGGGTGATAGGTTAAAATCTACTCAGCTGTTCCTTCTAGAGAAGCCATTATAAGACTTTGGAAATAGGGTATCTCTATATTATTATGAAATATGACAACACTAACTGCACTTTTATTCCACTGCTGAATGAAGAATGATAGTAAGATCACTTATAGCCTTGTGGTGCTATAAAATTTGGATAGTAAAAAAAATAATGAAAATAAAGAACTAATTACAACACTGGAATTGAGAGAGATCACTCTTCCTTCTGCTTATCAAATATCCTGAAAGAGATTACTTTTTAATCCATCATAAAAATTATATGCAAAATATACTTCAGGGATGATCTGGAAGAAACTAGCGAATGAAAGAAACAAACACCTACACATCACTGTACATGATAAAGAAGTCATGACACTAAGATTGTGGGGAGAAAAATATTACATCTGTGAAAAAGCTGAGGCTGACCCTAAGCACATTACATTTAAAGGCATCATCCCTAGCTGCAAGAGCCTGAAATACAATGGGTAGGTAAGAGTGGACCTTTAAACTTCATTCCAACAAGACCTGGTGACAGCCCTGAAGGCTTTCATGAAGCTTGTGAAGATTCTTTCTTTAAACTGGAAATGTTGGGCAAAATTCATAGCAAATCTAATTTGAAACAAAGTGTTTGGCATGTGCCACAGATAAATTTGGCCACAAAGTGAATGACAAAATAAATACTGACCAACAGACCTTGTGGAAGATGGCTAGTACAAGAGTATTTTGATTGTAGGTGGTTTGTTCCATCTTGTTTGCTCATTTTATTTGTATCTCCCTCTCATTCTGCTCAGAATCATGCCTGCAAGAGGAAGATGGGGTTTCCTGTCATACACTGAAGGGTGGAAGACCTGGGAAATCAGTTCATTAGGTCTGCTTCAATCCAGGGAGCAGAAGCCTGAAAGTTAGCCCTCCAGCAAGAGAGTTCAGCAGTCTGGATGAGAGTGTTATCAGCATCCTCGTCAGAGTACAGAGATTAATGTCCCTGACTTTTTTAATCACAGCTGTGACTCTTTATGACAGTCCTGAAACTGTCGAGGGGAGAAGCCATGGACTGCCCAAACACAGAGAACAGATTTTTCATGCCCTTCCAAAGAGGGTTTGAATACACTGGTAGCTCAATTTGAAATTACG